CTACTTGGTATTTATTTGGCAGCCTGGAGAGTCATCCTTATCACTGCATTTATAATTATCAAAAGCTTCTAAGAGGGTTTTCAGAAGAAACAGTCCTAGCCCTGCTGAGATCTGTTTGTGGGGCATGACAAGTGACTTTTAGAGCAATTGGGTTGATGGAAGGGAGCATAGGAAGGTGAGGAGAAAAGCAAATTCAGTAAGTTCTTTCAAAATCTTTTTTAAAGCTGAGCGAATTATTCACAATGAATAATTTACTTGTTGGCATCAGGCTTTTATCTTCTTTGGGGATATGCTACAAGCAGAATATAGGTCCTCACATTTGTCTGTTTGAATTATATGAGTATTTTTTTGTGTAATTTTCTACAGCTTGGTTAAGCATCTTAGACTTCCAGCTTTGTTACTTTCTTGTACAATGTTGTATAAAATGGTTTCCTCCTTTGTGGATTAAAGAAGAAGCACTTCTGCCATGGCCATTCATCATGCAAATTTGATTTCTGTGACTAACACACACTTGACAATAATCATTGAAGTTCCAGTAAATAGTTTAGATGCATGAGAAACACATGAATGGGTACAGGGAATTAAATAGACTCAGACAGCTTTTCCTATTCTTACACCGTATATTCTTTTCACACCGCTGAAAGCTCATAGTTCTTTACATTTAATATTAAATATTTACAAGCATGGCATGAACTTTGATATATCTCAAGGTCCAGTGCTTGTTGGGCCCTCCATTGATTTCTTGGATTTGTAATTGTCTTGCAAATGGGTGTGATTCTGGTCATGCCATTGCTTATGGTAGTATCCTCAACCTTAATGTATATTTTCGTGTCAAAGCAGTGGCAGGACTTGCTTCATTAACTCCTTATAAATTGAGGTAATGGCTTTTACTCCTCTTGATAGAATAATTCTTTCTTTATATGCCTTTGCTGAAACAAGTGGCCTCCTGGCACTTGTCTTATAACTAGACAACATTTCACTCAAACACACATCTGTGATGCAAGAAGGCAAATCAAAATTCATGACAGGATTATGTTCTCTCACAAATGTCACAGCTGACTGGAGGGACAACTTTGACATTGAGTGGTTAAACATATATGGTAGCAGTGCTGGAGAAATTTATTTTCACTGAAAAATAGAGCTCCTATTTGCTTGTTGAAGAAAAGAAAAAACCAGGAAATAGTAAGAAATATAAGCTCTGTACCAGATGGGATCAAGTCTTGCAATTAACTCTGAATTCTGTCTTGCCTTTATTCATACCTTTAGTAACACCTTCTTCTCAGTCTCCTGTTGAGGACAGCAGGAGCCCATCAGGGTCTGCATATCCATTAACAGGCAGCACAATGTGCTTCCAGCAGAGGGTTTTCCTACCACATTGCATTACCAGAACCTCAAATTATGTGCCCAGCAACCACCAGCTCTAACAAAGGTGTCCCATTTTACCATGATATTGCATATCTGTGCTTATTTATCCCTGTCAAATCCAACCAGTGGTAACACTGGAATTGGAGGATGTGTCTATATATAAAGCAGTCTGCAAGGGCTTTGTGTCTTCTTACTGGTATCAATTTTCCTATTATTAAGAAAATTAATTAAAATATGTAATATAAATATACAATATATTTATATAATATAATTAAATATATATTTATATAATTAAATATATATGATATATATTTATATAATATATATAATATAAAATATATTAAATTAATCCACAGTTTGCCATAATATTTTCTCTTTGAGTGAGTGTAAGCAGTTACTTTGTTTACCAATTGTAGGAGCTATTTATCTTAAAATACAGGGGGAAAAAAAAAAGACATCTAATCAATTATTTTGCTAAGGTCTCAGAATCATGGAGCAGAGAAACATAAAACTGATGAGGTTGGAAAAAACCTCTGAGATCATCAAGTCCAACCTGTGACCAAACACCACCCTATCAACCAGACCATGGCACTGAGTGCCTCATCCAGGTTTCCTTAAACACCTCCAGGATGGTGACTCCACCATCTCCCTGGGGAGCCTCTTCCCAGGCCTAATTACCCTTTTTGAGAAGAAATTCTTCCCCATGTTCAATATAAACTCCCCTGGTGCCCCTTGAGGCCTTGTCCTCTCACCCCGTGGCAGGTCAGCCAGGAGCAGAGCCCGACGTGCACATGGCTGCACCCTCCTGTCAGGGAGCTGTAGGGCCTGAGCCTCCTTTTCTCCAGGATGAACAATCCCAGCTCCCTCATGGGACTTGTGCTTCAGACCCTACCCCAGCTCCATTTCCCTTCCCTGAACCCCCTCCAGCACCTCAGGGTCCCTCCTGAACTGAGAGATCCAGAACTGAGCACAGCACTCAAGGTGTGGCCTCCATGTCACAGCTTTAGGCCCTGAAACAAAACTACAAGTCTGTAGTTATCTGTCTATCCAACAAGTTCCTTTGAAAAATTTTTCTTCTTGTCTCCTGCGAGCCTGCAGTGAATAATGATCTATGTTTTTCCTCTTGTGCTACGAAATTTATTCAGGTAAATAGTAGAAAATGGCTAAGTCGTAGGTAAGTTTGCAAATATACCTTGAAGCCATAGATCATATACTTGTACACAGATGGCTCCCTACAGATGATCATTACTCTGAGACTTGCAGAACTCAGGAAAAACCTAGAATTTTCTCAAGGACACCACAAATCATAACCAGCTCCTGGTGTCTGACAAATTTTACCCTGCTCAACTGTGGAGTGAATTCAGGAGCTAGAGATGGAGGAACCATCCACACTTCCAGATTCTTCATTTCAGTTGAGTCCAAAAATGTAGGAATAGGCTGCTTCCTTAAAATTTCCTGGCAAAGGAGAAACCTTGCTTGTTGAATTTCAGAGTTACTGAACACGTCATTTCTGCAGTCCCCTCCTTACAGAACTTCAGATTGGGTTAGTGTAGGGGGAAAATGAAATAGCCTTGGGATATTTGTCATGGTGCTGTTGAAACAGATTTAGTTGCATATTTTATAATCTGATGCCTTGAGACATTTTGAGACATATTTTAAAACTTACCTTAATCTTTTATTATGCATATTTTCCCCTTTGAAGAGACTTTTAAGTAGCCTGTTTCTCCACTCCTTGCAACAGACTTGTCTTCATCTCTGAAGAAAAATCTCTTAGGAGGGCAGGAGCAGATCACATTGTGTGACAGCTCAGAGTTTCAGATGGTTGTGAGGAAAGGGTAACCCTCTGCAGACAGCCACAATGGGCCCTGTGATTAAAAAACACCTTGGAGCTGTCTCAGCTCCAAGGTGGATTGAAGCAACTGGCTGAAGGACAGATCTCCCTGATGCTGGGGTACCTTTGTGGATTTAAGGAAGCTGGCCCCTGTTCTCTCTCAGTGGAGATGACTTATACACAGAGGGTGGTGACAAGCACATGTGTGATCACAGCAGCTGCATTCACTGCAGGGAAAAAGGTCAGCTCTCAGAAACAAATCAGTAAATGCCACCTCCAGGTGTAGGACAAGGGACTTTCCTTGAATGTTGTTGGTGTCTGTGACTCAAAACCAAGGAGATCATCCCAGACAATGCTGCCTTCTGTGTACATGAGTAAGTTTACCTCTTGAGAAGTGACCCCTTTGTGCATGAGTGGCTTCACCTCCCACATTTCTTGGTGGAAAATGTGCTGGCAGAGGGAAGCCCTTGCCTTCACCACCCAGGCTTGGTGACACAGCTGGTGGGGAGGGGAGTGAATTTCACTGATCTGTGGATTTAAATTAAACAAACCAAGTTTCCCTATCTTAAAATACAGAGGGAGAAAAAGTCACATGCCCCATAGGAAAGGGGAGGTATGGCCGTGGCACAGATGTCTTGGATGACCTTCCTGGCAATGTCTGCAGGACATTGGTCACTGTGTTCCCCCCCAGCTCACTGTGTTCCCTTTGTTAAAGCACAGTGAGAGGTGATCAAGAGAGTTTGGGCAAACAATACTCCAGAGCTGTACATGCCAGAGCTGACCTGCCAGATGTAACTTCCAGAACACAAGGAAGGATTTCTGCTGCCTTCATGGAGACAGTAATTTGATTCTCTTTTCTAACCTGGTGCCAATTTCTATAAAAGTTGCAGGAATGACATGTGTCAGAGAATTCAACTCTGGCTGAATTTGTCTGAAACTTTTAATTAGGTTCCAAAATCATGGAGGGGGGGAGGGAGGGGAGTGTGCATGTGGGAGTTGGAAGATGAACAGACATTGTCATTAGATGGAGCCTAATATTTTAGGAAATGAAGCCAAAATTCTGCTTTTTCAGAGGGGCAATATGAATGTTGACACACTGAAATCCAGGAGGCTTCTGAGTACCACAAAACAGGGCTCTGCCAGGTCTGCCAGGGCACACCTGCTTTAGAGGACTGGCCTTCCTACCAGGGATGCTCTGTTTATTTTTTAAAGGCTTTCAAGAGCCACCTTCCATTTGCACCTAGCATTTAAACAAGGGGCTTATTTTCAGGGTTAATTTGTCTCTGCGCCTTAAGCGGGCACATTTTGATGATTAGCCATGGGAGCTCGGGGGGGTTTGCAGCATGTCTCTCCTTGAGAAGGGATGGGATGAGAAGGGAAAGAAGGGAAGGGGGGGCTGCCTGGCTGCCGTTTCCATGCGGTACAGGCAGCGTGATCAGAGCGCTAACACAACAGCCTGTGTAATTACATGTTTCTGCAAAGTGTGTTAGCTCCATGGGGAGCTGAGTCCATTTGGAGGGGAGGAGGAGGAGGAGGAAGAGACTTTCTTTGAGGGGGGGATAAGGTGAAAAGGGTCAGTGTGTAACCCAGCTCTGGCTGGAATAGGATAAAGGTAATTGTTACTCTCAAGTGAGCACCGGGTGGCTCTGGCTGCTCTCACTGCTCATGTCTGTGCTGTGCAGGCGTCTGCTCTGCCGAGCAGGCGAGAAGAGAGGAGAGGTTTGACCCTGTTGGGAGCGGTACGTGGCGGGGTTTGACGTGGTTTCTGCGCCAGCATCACCAGGGCAGGCAGGAAGATGCAGAGTCAGGGGCACGGCACTTCTGTGCTGCCCAGGATTTATTTAGGTGCAGTAAGGGACCATGGCAACTAAGAACAATTAATGACAGTCTGCGAGCTAGGGCAGGGGGAGGATGGCTTGGACCTAACCTGTCATGTAGGTGTTTGATACATGTCCTGTACTGCTGCTGCTGCTGATTTCTGTGGTGGCGTGCGCCTGAGCTTTAAATATCCTGCAGTTCCCGATATCTTGTTTCTCCAGCCGGCTCTCTGTTTCATTTTCCTCTTCTCTCTAGTGTAAAATTTGGCCTAGCTTAAGCTTCTTTCCCTGGCTGTGAAGGTTATTTCTTTCCCTCCTCTCCTCCCCACCCCCTCATCCCTCCTCTCCTCCTCTTGCAAATGCTCTCCGACCCTGATTTGGGGTTTCTCTCCCTGCAGTGAGCCGTGGGCTCTGTGGATGCTTTGCTGTGACGGAGGGCCGAGGGCTGACCAAGTCGTGGGGAGGATTTGTATGTAGGAGGAGAGGAGATGGCTGTGCAGCGTGCTCCCGAATCTGCTCTGAGCTTGCTGATGGTAAGTGCTCGCTGAAATCCATTTGGGAAAGGGGGGGTGGGCGAGGGGAGCTGCACCGCAGGGATTCAGGGCTCCAAATCCACGGGGGGATTTTGTGTGAGCCGGTGCTTGGCTTTTACAGGTCCCAGGGAACTTTGCAAAAGGCTCGTCTGGGGCTTGCATGGAGGCATTCCTCCCACGATGGGTTTTGGCACATCTGGACCGATGCTCAAGGCAGGATTTTGAAGTCACCTTTCCGGCACTCGTGTTCGGGTTTATCCTGAGCAGCAGATTACATTTTGCTCATTAAATCAATGTCTCGAATTCTCACGTTCTCCTGCTTTTGCCCTTGCGTGACTGTGAGGCAACTTAAAAGATGAGAGGGAGAGCTTGATTTCTCTGCTGTTTGGGAGGCATGTTGTCAGCTGTGACCAGGCTGAGCTGTGGTATCACCTGGGGAATGCTCCTCTGATGCAGTGAATCGCCATTCCCCTTCTGCAGAGTGTGTCAGATCTCCTCCTGACTGCAGAGCACAGGGTAATGACTGGTGTTTATCCGAGCTGTTTGCTACAACATGTTGAGCCACTGACCTACTTCTGAAAGTTCTGCATATTTATAATATTTTAAAGAAGATTATTTAGAACACGTGGCTGACTCTAGAAACGTGCCAGTGTCCTGCTGCAATTAAAGTAAGCCCTTTTGGTGGGGTATTAGAGAGTTGCTTAGCTTTACTGATTTTATTTTTTTTTTCCTCTCTCTGGTACTTCTGTTGCCATTTTCTGTGCAGCAGCATCAGAGATGATTTTAATGTAAGATCTCTGCTGGATGTTTTTCTATCTAAATGTCACTGTAACATTTCTGCTGGAGAGTTATTGTAAGTAGCATGTGTGTGTGTGCACATGTGCGTGAGAATGCATAGATACATAGGCATTACATACATATTTATATAATTATTGTCATTACCACTGATCTCTTCTGATTGCTTAGGAAATGGTCTCTAGCACTCAAAAACATGATGAGTTTAGTAAAGGGAATGCTGCAGCATAAGAGCCCTGCAGTGCCTAAGGTTGTTAACAAAGGTCAAGTTGAGAAAAGCAAATTTTATGTCCATTACTCGAAATGCTAAACATGCTATTAAACCTCTGCATGGTTTGTTTTATATTTGTCAGTGACTGACTTGGTGTGCAAGCTCATTTTATTTCCTCTTGCTTACCTCCGGCCTTCCTGGCTTTTTAAATGACCTCTTTCTAATTTCTCTTTCAAAAATAAATTGATGAGTGTCCGTAACCCCTATGTCATTGTTTGGGCTCTAAATGCTTTTAGTTTCAGTACCCTCTGAATTCTGGAGTTAAACCTCTCTTTCCTCAATCTCTGTACTCCTTGAACAGACCTTGTCAAACTTCAGTGCAGTGCCAAGCTCTCAGCAAATTTTCCCTTCTAAAATGTGGCTTTCTGTGGCTACACAGCCTTGCCCTGTTGTTATTTTTTAGGGCATTTCCACGGCTCTGGCCTGTAACCAGGACCCCTTGGGTCTCTTCACCTTGGGCACAGCCCCAGGGGATGGGCTGGGTTGGGTTGGGGGTCCAGAGCCAGAGGGGCTCCTGCCTTGGACCCTGTGGATGGCTGGGGGATGGAGATCCATTTCTGGGCTGAGAATGGGTTAATGTCACAGTGGGCTCTGCTCTGGTACTAGAGGTTGGTTATGGGTGTGGAAAAGGTGATTTGTTATGGAAAATGCACCACTTTGCAAACTACTTCTTTTGCCTTGGGTTTTTCGTTGGGTTGTGAATCAGCTTAGTTAGTTAATTATAGAAACCTCATCCTTTCCCCTCTGCTCTGCCTTGGCTTTGATTGCATGCCTGAGCAGGCTACCCTTGAATCAATAATAAATTCTTGCATAATTCATCCCACAATTAGCAGCTATAATGGCATCTCTTCTAAAACTGCCACCCTCTAGAGATTCAAAGATTAGATGTGTTTGGGAAGTCCACAGAAGTAGATTTTAATACTTCAGTGAGAATTCTCCAGTGAGAGAGTGTTCTTTCAGCAGTGAGAAGCATTTCAGTACTGCATTTCCCCTGCAATAGGATGCAGAATGTGCATCCAACCATCCACTTTTCATGAGACATAATCATCAGCAGCATTTGCCAGTGCTGCATCATACTCTGAAAATATCTCCTTCTCCATGGGGCACCTCAGAGCACTTTGTGCTGCAAATAAAGAAACCAAGGTACAGAGCCATTAATTGCCTCTCCTGGCATTTGATGCAGAGTGAGTGATCCAAATCAGGAGTTTTCGCATCCCAAAATTGTTTCTGGTCGATGAAGAAAGATGGACATCTCTGGGCTGTGGGACTTCTTTCCTACAGTAGACCACTCACAGGACATGGATATCCAGCCCCAGTGTGCCCCAGCAGAGAGCTGCTCAGGGGACCAGGTGGCACTTTGGGGTGCCAGCTGTGCTGACAGCTCAGGACTTACCTTTGTCTAGTAAATGCTACCCAGGACATGGTGTTGGAGTGGCCCACAGCAGATCCCAGTTGGACATTTCTTGTCCATCCATTATCTCACACACTTGCAGTCTTAGGTGGACAGATCACACTTCTCTTTAGTGAAAAAAAAATTGCTATAGAATTAATTAACCAAAATTGATTTTTAAAAAATTTATATTGCTCTCTAGCCAGTTCAATACTCTGGTGTGTTTTTCCCCCTTGTTTATAGTGATTATTTCTTTTATATTTTTTTTCCTCCCAGACCAGGGAAAAGGCTCCAATGAAGGAGAATTTCAGTCTTAAACATATATTTTCCTAAAATAAAGATATTGTTTTCATACAAAAACTGCAGTCTGCAAGTATAACTTCAACTTGTCCACTCTGATAAATATCTTGTGCTACAAATGCCTCTGGAATGTGCCTGCTCTGCAGGACTCCTGCCTCTGCCTTGCCCCAGAAATCACAGGAGATGAGGGATGTTGCCTGGTACACCATGAAGGAAGTTGGGCAGAACTGTACCCAAAGTGACTCTGCCTGTAGCATTATCATATCATTAAAACAGAGCTTCCTCAGCTTCTGGGAGTCAAGAGAGAGGAGCATCTAAGCATGAAATAGCAAATTCCATGTCTTGTTAGGACTGATAACACCTGCTGTGTTAGGATCATTAATACTGATGGGAGTGATACCAATAAGTTTTTATGTCTGTCTTATTAGTATATTGTAAAATTTTAAAGCTGCAGACATATTGACTGCACATATTTTAACAGCACAATAAGTTACAATACCTGGTGTCTCCTGAGACAGCATTACTGCATCTCCTGAAAATACATCTCAGGGACTTGACTTCCAAACTATTCTAGGTCATGACACTAACACTAATTAATCTGTGTTAAGTGACAACAGAGGTTCCAATGAGCAGCATCTGTAGCTCAGTGTTTATCAATTAATCTAATCTTGAAATGGTAGGGAAGAGAAGCATGGTTCTCTGTTTGCAGTAAAGCTCCAGCTTCTAGCTTCATCTAGCTGCTCTCACCCTCTCCATCAAGATGAAGTTTTTCCCCTATTTATAATCCAGCTTTACTCTTTCTCATCTGTATTACAATACTTTCCTTGAAGAAATAATACAGCATTAGAAAATAAATGCATTTGTAAATTAATGGTAATTGCTTGTGTTTGTAGGAGCATGATTATTTTCAGGAGTCTGTGTGATGCTTTCATGTGGTGAATTTCATTATTTTGGGTCTGACTTACGTCCAAGCTGAGGCTGGAATAGAGGTGCATGTGAGATTTCCTAAGTGACCTTCATTACGTGGGCCTTGGTTATCTCTGCAGTTCAAGGAGAAAAAGGCCAGCAGGGAGTTTGGAGCACTAATTCTGTGGTGTTCACAATGCCCAGGGTGAAGAGGGAGAAATTGGGTGGCCAGTGCAGTATCGAGGGTGCTGACCTTGGTGTTTCCTTGTTCTGCTGGGAAGCAGACACCTGCCCCAGGAAGATGTGAAAACTGCTAAATGCATCAGAAATAATTGGCATCTGAGTCATTGTCCGCTGAAAATCCCAGATTTCTGATGTGGTTCCAGCCCTCCTTTTTAAGAGGGCTCTCTTTAATCATCCTTCTATCCCTCAAGGAAAGCTACACTGGAGTCCTCAAAACAATGTGAATCTCCTTGATCTGATAATTTTTCTGGAGTGCAGCAATGAACTCTTCAAAATTGCTCTTAAAGCACACTCCAAGATTTAACTGTATCCTTACTAAACCCTGTGAGGGCCATGCCCTGCTCAGTTGGACTTGACAACATTCCAGATATTCCATAAATTATTTCATACGTTTAGCTGCTATGTTTTATGTCTGAAGTCTGCCCTTGAGAAGACAAATTTGGTAACTAAAATGACAGAGAGCTTCCAAGCCCCATTTAGAGCTAGGACTGCCTCCTCCCCCCATAAAGCTGTGTGCTCTGTCCCCCTCAAACCTCCAGACAGATTGCAGCAGCACAGCTCAGCTTGGAGGATCATATTAAAACCTTTGGGAGCAGCAAGGTTACAGTGGAAGGATGAGGTCATTTTCTGCCTCTCTCATCTCAGGATTAAATTATTTCTGTGTTGACAGCGTGCAAAAGCCCTCGACATGCAAACCTCCTCGCTGCAACCGCATCTCTGGACCGCGCTGCCCTGGGAGGTCAATGCTTGGCACGCTCTTTGCACCAAAACAAAACCCACTCATTGCTTCCTGTGGCGTGGTGAGGAGGTTAATGCAGCTCCAGCTGATGCTGAGGCAAGGTGACAGGGTGACGTGTCACAGTGTGTGACTGGCACACGCTGCTCTGGGTGTGAGCAGCGCTGCTCGGGATGGATAGCGCCTTCCCCCAGGACCCCGCTGCGCTGCTGACATCTAGCCCTCTTCAGCTTCGTGCCCAAAATGAGGTCTGTGGGGACACTTGCACAGCGAGGGGAGGTGATTATGCAGCCCTCCCCATGCTGCTTTCACGGATATTTCCACCGTGCAGGTGTGTGGGCTCCACCCGCAGCCTTGCC